GCACATACAAGGAATTTGTTATAGTGTCACAAGCTTCCAGTACATATACTATACAATACTATACTGTATAAATATCTTAATATTAACTGATATAGAGGAATATAATATATTTTATTAAAAAAAGCAATATTTAAATTTATTTATTTTTTTGTCTTTTTTATTTTTACTAAAATAATAAAATATTATATAATATGTAGTTTTGCACATTTGAAAAAGCATTGATGCCTGAATAAATTGACATACACACACACACTCATACGCATTGTAGTCTGATTAAGTGTTACAGAGTTCATAGGGAAGATTTGTGTCATGTTGTTCATGCCAAAAATCCAGACATTGTGTGAGCTGGCTTTAACATGGGAAGTAATGAAAGATGATGCATGTCGTTATTTGACTTACACTGATGGGAGAAGTGGCAGCTGAGAAACCCAGGGAGATATTGGGCAGCGATGGAGATGTGTAGAGATTTAACATAGACACTGAGCTTTCAGGCCCTAATAACCTCGGCTGTGACGGCCACCGCTGTGATGGAAAAAGAGAGAGAGGGATGGAGGGAAGGAGGGAGAGAGAAAGATAGATATTTTAAAATCCCACTATGGACCATTGGAAAGAGCAACAGCAACAGAACAATAAACTTTAATGTACTAAAACGAATGACGGTTTTGTTCCTGACACACCGGAGCTGCATGAGCTCAACTGAAGGACGTAAAAACCAAGGCCACAGAGAAGCCCACAAATGCAGAATCATATCCCATTTGCTATAATTTCTCAAGCTGAATTGTATCAGAGAGAAAAAAAACAGTCTCACTGCAGTACTGATCAGTTTTTGACTGTACTTCCTCCACCCAGTGGTGCGGCCCATCAGCATGTGGCAGAGGGGCTGTACTGTTTACCCTTCAATCCCTCCTGCCTATTCACTGACCTGTATGTGGATATCCGGCCTTATTTGACCCAGGGGACCAGTTCCCTCTGAAAGAAGATACCCAATGTAACGGATCACAAACACGACTGGCTTTCGAAACTGGTGTGGTGTCTGCGGGTTGCACTGCTACGATCCATGAGATGTCAAGCTTATGTCAATACAATAGCGATCGGGCGTGTTTGTGTTGTTAACGTGTCTTTGGCTACCAGCGGCTGGTGGATCAATTAAGCTCAACCACCCACCACCTCGACCCTGGATCGCAGCGCAATAAGCATTCCTTGTCGGTTATTGCATTGGAGGTTCATGGGAGTGTAAACAGTGGTGTTGAAGAATAACACAGCTGCTAAGCTGAGGCTTCACAGAGACATGTCACATTTGCCCAGAATGCACCTCTTTGTGAGCAAAGTCCACAAGGACCCAGAGGATCCAAGCCGTGAAGCACCCAGGAAGTGAGTCAGAGGGAGCTAATGAACATCGGCAAATGGGAAAAGTCCTCCATGTTGCCATAGAAATATTTTGTGTTCAATACAAGTTACACTCAACTGGCAGAAGGGCTGCATGGTTTGGTGAAGAAAAAAAAATTATTTTCTGATAAAAAATTGTGATTGCTATTTAAAATGTGATTTAAAAAAATTGTTTGTATTGGCCCAAAATATTGTGATTATATATCCATATGATTATGAAATTCTAATTAAAATTAATAAAAAAAATTTTTTAAATACCACCATAATATGCTGAAAACACTGGACAATGAGCTGCTCACGTGTAAATGAAAACAGTGCTGTGCCTCACGCAGTGCATATTTTTTTCATTAAATCACAGCCTATCAATTTAATAATTGATAAAAAACACTTTTGGTTTAATTTTGGTTAATCATGCAGCCCTAATTGACAGTATTGTGGTGTAATGTCGATTACCACAAAAATAATTCTGGCTTGTTCTTTTTTTTTCTTCAGAAAAAAGCTAAAAAAGTTATAATGCAATCGATCTGGGCCAAGTTTTGGACGATTGAAAATAATAAATGTGAAGTTAGTTGTTTTGTTAAAACCTTTATGCTTTTAATTTTATGGTCATATTAGGGGTTTAGTCGTTATGCTGTCATGGCAATGAAATAAAACGTAATATAACTTTACACAGAAAAAGTTAGAAAGCGATTTCTTCACAACACAATCAATATGCATATTTATTGATTTATTTATTATGTCTTGTGCCTATATTTTTGAAACATTGATTATTTTAACATTTGCAAATTGGTCCCCTTCACTTACATTCTTAATGCCTCACTGTAAACCAACACTTTTTTAAAGAATAGGGGAGTCAGAATTAATTTAGTGGTGATTAATATATAATATATAAGTTGATTGAGCATAACATGTACTGAACCTGGAACCTGCACCCTATTTTAAAGGTTAATAGTGAGAATAGGCATAGGTGAGCCCTGAATGTAACTTAATTTTGAGCTCTATCTGATCTACTCTTTCTTGTCCCGAGCTTTACGAGAGCTGCAGGCAAAGAAAACCACATAGCTATGCCAGTAAAGGTTAGCGATACAGAGCAGGAGTTTGTGGGAGGAAGTGAACTGACTCTTTATTGTCCGTGCTGGGAGCCGTTTTCATTGGACTGAGACGGACAAGCAGGTCACAGGCTGTAGAGACAGAGTTGTGTTTTCATAGCTGCACGAGGACAGGCTGGGTTTGTGTCGAGGAAATTTATGGGTGCGGCCTGGTGGCCATGAACTTTTCTTTTAGTCGTACATGTTTTAATCTTTCAGGAAAGCTTTGTTGAAACTGCTGTGAGAAAGCTTAACTGTTAATATACTTTCGTACCTGTAATAAAACATGTTTAATGTAAGTACCTCAGTACGTGTGGTGACTGGTAGAGAGGAGGGTCCGTTTTCAGCCCCCAAGGCACTGTAGGCCCCGTTAGGTGAACTGGGCCCTGATCCTGGTGCACTGCTGCTGGCTGTGGATTCTGGGGAAGATTAATTTAAACAGACATAAGTGCAAGTATAGACATTATCGATAATATAATTTATAAACTGTACAGATCTAGAAATTCTTCATATGGTTTTGAAAAAAAATGTTTATACCAAATTAAACAAAAGTTTTATCTAAAATGGAATGTCAAATGTAAATTATAGGTATATTTTGCCTGCACTTTGAATACATATGATTGTCATTGTGCAATATTGATATTTAAATATTTATTTCATCCTTTTAATGAAGCTTTTTTCTTCATTATGATAACAGGACAGTTGTTCCAGCCTGTTACTTCTGACTTTGCCCCCAAAAAATATACAGTGTTGGGGAAAGTTACTTTTAAAAGTAATGTATTACTTTTAAAAAGTAACTAATTACATTACTTAGTTACTTTGTATGGAAAGTAATGCATTACGTTACTTTTGCGCTACTTTTTAAATCTGGTCAAGGCTTGCTTGTTTGTTTTTAAAATAAAAAAGTTATATTTTTGGCAAATATAAAAGCCTTTTCACACCAAAATTGTAATGAATAAGCCTCAGGCTGAAGGGAAAGTAAATTTACGTCCGTACAGTAGAATGCAGAAGAAGACATTTCAACACACTTCAGCAATAAAAAAAGACACACAAATGTTTGTCTAGAGTCATTTTTTGCATATTAGTATGGTTGAACTGGATCATCGAAGGTCAGAAGCAAAGACATTGGTTAATAGAATAGGATTAAATACATAAAGGATATTTGTGTTGTTTAACATTTAATTATTGCAGGTTTGCGTCATATTCTGAGTTGCATTAATTTTATTCATTTTGAGGAATACTGAATCTGTGTTTTTTTGTGTGTGTGAGTGAGATGAATTAATGCATATTCATGTTTATTTTAGAACTACAGTAACATCTTCTGATTTCTCAACATGGGGATAGGAGAGCTATCAATCAGTAAATTGGAAATAAAAAGTAACTTGCGTTACTTATTTGAAAATATATATATATATATATATATATATATATATTCTATACATCTAACTATATATTTTATGAGATATTGACTGGTATCTGGCGGTCAGCAATAGCATGATGTCATATTTGGCATATTTACATTTACTGGATTTACTGGATGACAATCTTGCCACCGTGTTTGCAAAACCAACCACCAACTGCTTCCACTGATACATCATAAATACACAAGTGACTGAAACACCATGGAAAAATCATTTGACCGGCCAAGGCTCAAAACCACATTGGATGGTCCTCTGGATGACATCTGCCAGAGCAGCTGTTACATAACAACATCAGCACACTGAGCTGCACAGACAGTGGACGGCTGCTGTGATTACTGGAGAGAAACCGCCAGCGAACAGCCAACCGGTAGGAGGTCTTATTGTTTATGCCCCAGGTGTGTCATCGAATTTTTAGATGCATTATGGGATGGCATTCCTACCCAGAAGCTCCAGGGCTCTCTTTTTGAAGGGTGACATGATGCTCCCCTCCTTCCTCCTGAGGAGTGGGCTGCTCCTCCTCTCTGCAACCTTCTGCTTTAACCTGGACCGCACCTTCAGATTGGGCTCTGAGACTGGAGAGAAAACATAATAACACAAATATTCAGAATCTGAACTGTTTAGTCTAAACTTTTTTAGCCAAGTGTTGGAAATTATGTTTTGATGCATTTGTAGCTATGCATGTCAGAAAGTAGGAGAGGGGAATCCACATTGTTGTGTAGTAGCATTCCTGTACTGTGATGTTATAGGACTGTGATTAGATCAGTGGACATTTACAGGTTGTTTTCAAAGACCATAGTTTCCTCATCATCTGGAGTAAATTAGCCTGAGAAACAAAGGCTTTAAGGTGAAAAAAAAAAAGGTCGGCAAGAGCCAGGCTGACCATACACTATGAAAAAATTATGTTCCGAAAAATAAGAAAGAATATATTTTTTAATTATATTATATTACATTATATTATATTATATTGTATTATATTATGTTACATAACATTACATTCTATTATATATATTTTTTAATTACTTTGTATATAAATTAACATTTAGGGTCAGAATTTTTTCTTTTATTCAGCAAAGACATTAAACTAATCAAAAACAAAAAGTAAATTAATTCATAATGTTACTTACACATGATTTCAGTTTCAACTAAATGTTGTTCCTGTGCTCATCAAAGAAAATTGAAAAAAAATGAGATCGTCCACAAAAATATTAAGCTGCAAATTCATTTTCAACACTGATAATAACAAAAGTGTCTCTTGAGCACAATCTTTCATTATCACATTTTTATATATATATATATATATATATATAAAAAAAAAATATATATATATATATATATATATAAAATGTATTTCACAACACTACTGTTTTTACTATATTTATTTTTAAACAGATGCATAATTCACTTAAATAAATTATTATTACTATATTAATATTCAAGATATTAATAATATTAAAAACAATAATACTAGAATAATAGTCATAGCAACTCTAATTCGTTCAATCAACAGATCTTTTATGAAGTCAACTAGAAATTTTAAATGCACTCAAGAGTTCTGCAGTGTTTATTTGTAGAGGTTTTTTTTTCATAGTTAGTCTTTGTATAGTAGTTCATCAATTAACAGACACATTTGGTGAAAGAACGTAGCATGCCAAACCCTGTCTATGCAAAAATATATTCATGCGAAATGTGCAAAAAAAAAGACTGCAAGTGAAGACATTTACATTATATCAAATTACACCCCCATGGAGTATTTAGTCATCATTTAAATATTGTTGAATTATGGAGAAGTGTCTGTTTATATGACTATAATGTACAGGCAAGTGTTTCTAAACAACTCTCTGATGGGAAGAGAGTGAGTAAGCCAGCCACCCACATCCAGTGCCTCCCTTTGGGAAACACCCACATTACAACTAGCAGCCAAAAATACAGAAATTTGGTCTCATTATTTTTCCCCTCAGTTCCCCATTGTGCAATAGTACCACTACCATCTAGTGTGTGCAAGTTATAATCTAGATAAGTGGTTCTCTACTGGTTTTGTTTCACCAGCTAAATTGGACATAACACTGGCAAACAAACAACAGTACAAAAATTGTTTAGCAAGAGAAGATACACATATACATACATACTAAGACCCCTGAAAGGAGCAGCCAGATGAGGGAGAGAGAGATGTTGCCATACTTAAAAGACAGCTGACCAAATGGACATGACCATATAGGATGACTTAGTATGAGAAGTGTGAGTCAAGGGAAGACACAGCTGTAAGTAGTAATCTCAGAGGAGAGAACTGGACCGCAGGCTGGGCTGCTATTTCAGGACTCTTCAGAAGCAGAGGCAGGAATGTCTGCTCCCATCCAGCAGTACACTAATGGGATGTAAATCCCGCTAGTGGAGTGGGCTGAGAGCGAACTGCAGGGAGCCCTCTCCAAACCACCTTGCACCCCACACTGTCCTGATTGCCTTCTATTTTTATACGGCGCTACAGCCTGTCACCACGGGAGCGCTACCCTATTGCTGTGGAGGTGGAAGAGCGATTGTTGGTGGGTTTAGTAGGAGGCTGTGATCGTGATGCCATGGGAGAACACATCACTCTACCCCACAACTGCGGGGGAAAAACAGCAGAGCGACAGGCCCGACACCTGCTTGATTTTTCATCGCGCTGACATACGGCCTGGAACCAGAAGCCAAGTCAAACAAGAATATGTATGAGGCAAAAACTTAACAGGCCCATAAATCAATCATATTATTACATTTGAAATCAGTGCTGGAGGGCACACACTGCTGATGTCTATTTATTGTGTTGTCTCAACCCAAAGACAAAGTTCCCTTCAGAGTTGTGTGGCTTAGTATGTGTCTGACAAGTGTGCAAAGTGTATATTTATGTGTAAAGTGACCGAAATTAGATCATATCTAATTAGATGTGCTAACCAGTGTCAATTATCGAACACTCGACAAGTGCAAATGTAAAGTAAAAATGGCTAAATAAATAAAACAGTTGCTTGATGTTAGTTATGTTAACTTAACGCATGGCTTAAAACAATATTCAGAGATGTTCAGTGATGTAAGTGGTGATGTGAGAGACAGGATTATTATTAAATCCATTAAAAACAATTTAATAACTTGGAAATAAAATATAAAAAAAAAAGTCTACAACATTTCTAATTTTCATTGTTTACAGTAGTAAAATGACTAAAACTAAAATCAATAAATAAAATAAATAAATACTACATAGACATGTTTAAAATTAGCTAAGATTAAAGTAAAATTTTAAAAATAAATTTAAATAATCCAACTGCCATAAGGGCAAATATATACTGTATTTTTCATATAAAAAAATAATGCAAAATACGGTTTCCTGACTGGTAAGAACTATTTATGACTAGTAAATGTTTGCGATTCACACTAATTCCGCAATAAGGTGTGACAGAAAGGAAAATTTATTGTTATACACAATGTATCGGCACCATATTATTAATCAGATTATATGTGTGATTTTTTTTTCATTATCAGAAATAAATTGACAAATATTTACATTGATACTGTATAAATAAATAATTGATTATATTTAAATAATCCAAATGTTATATTCCTTATTTTAAGATTCAGATCATCATTTACCATTAACTTCAAGGGACAGCAATGGACTATGGCAAAAAGTTTACTCTTTGAGAGCATGCATATATGTTTTTTTAAACAAAGTAGTTTACATTTACAATATTGTCCATTTATCGGTCAGACATTTCAAAATCAGCACTTCCCTAATTTTTGTGCATCCTTGCATTTCCTTTGAACAAAGGCTTAGTCAAACTTTCTAAAGGCAACGTGTATTTGCACACACCTGATCCTGCCTGCAGCCTCTCTGATACTTTTTCTCTCATTAGTAAAAATACAAACACCTGTTTACCCAGGAGATGAGGACTATATGATGCAACAACACTGCTCTTGCAAACCATATTACTTCATCATTGCATCTAGGTTCATTTTTCTTTGTTTCCCTTCCCACATCCCTCCATCTCCAGTGGGGAATAATGTTGTGACATAATAAAGCAAGCCTGGTCTGACGGCCCAAATATCCACCATTTAAAACACACAAACTCAAATCCCTCTCATCTCAGCTGCACCTGCTCCACATGTTTGGTATGTGGGTCAAGACTAAGAAGGTTTTTCTTCTCTTCAATAAGCTGGACTATTCCTGCCTGCAGCAGTGTCAAGTGCCAACACATGGATCTTGTCCGGTCCAGAGCATGGCACACAGAAGATACGTGGTGAGTAAACCAACTGATCATGTGATGCTTTGGAGATAAATGGATTGCTTGGCTTTACAAGTTCAGTTGAGAACAGTGTGATCAAACCAAAGCCACATTGAGTGTTGCAGATGATACAGCGCTAAGGACCCAAGGGAAATTAAGAATTACCTCTTTAAAAAAGTGTCAGTTCCTGTAGCACTCACTAATCTTGGCTTGTTTTGGTTCAGTCTCTCTACAGCGCTAACCTAACCTCTTGACATATGTCAGTCAAGCAGCATCTAGGTTCATTTTTCTTTGTTTCCCTTCCCACATCCCTCCATCTCCAGTGGGGAATAATGTTGTGACATAATAAAGCAAGCCTGGTCTGACGGCCCAAATATCCACCATTTAAAACACACAAACTCAAATCCCTCTCATCTCAGCTGCACCTGCTCCACATGTTTGGTATGTGGGTCAAGACTAAGAAGGTTTTTCTTCTCTTCAATAAGCTGGACTATTCCTGCCTGCAGCAGTGTCAAGTGCCAACACATGGATCTTGTCCAGTCCAGAGCATGGCACACAGAAGATACGTGGCGAGTAAACCAACTGATCATGTGATGCTTTGGAGATAAATGGATTGCTTGGCTTTACAAGTTCAGTTGAGAACAGTGTGATCAAACCAAAGCCACATTGAGTGTTGCAGATGATACAGCGCTAAGGACCCAAGGGAAATGAAGAATCACCTCTTTAAAAAAGTGTCAGTTCCTGTAGCACTCACTAAACTTGGCTTGTTTTGGTTCAGTCTCTCTACAGCGCTAACCTAACCTCTTGACATATGTCAGTCAAGCATCTCAGGGAAATCCAGGATGTGGAACAACCAGCATCTTTGTGTGGCTCCTGTTGCGTGCCTACTTTGAGGGGATTCTAAGTGAGACGGACAGGAAGAGGGGGAAGGGACCTTGCATGGGTGTATTTAGAGTTTGGAATCCAACTAGAAGGTAAAAGGTTTTAAAAGGTTTAGGCAATGGATAAGATTAACACACATAAAGGATGGGTAGTTCCAAACACTTGTTTACTTTCTCTCGCATTTTAAACTTAAACTTTAATTTTCTACTAAACGGTTTATTCCGAGAGTTTGTCACTTCAGTAAGTTAAATAATAATCAATAAAGAAAAAATTTATAATAATTAAAAAAAAATAGAAAATATATTTTTTTAAATAAGTAATTTGGCATAATTATTATTATTATTTCTTAGAGAAAAACTGCTCACTGCATATTATTATTATTATTTTTAAATGTCAACTAAAAATTGTTCAATAAGGTCATGTGGCGCAACTAACATACTGAAACATAGAAAAAAAAGGGGAAAAAATCAGGAAGTGATATCATAATGTTATGATCCCGGTCTGTGTTCCCAGAAATATGTATAGGTAGATGCCCTATAGCAGCTGTTTCTATGGGTTGCCATATTGGAATGGTCAAACCCAGTCATAGTTACATGCATGCATGAATATCTATATCTGCAATAGACTTAAGCAGATGATTTAGCAAAACCAGGGATAGGCAAGTTCGGTCCTAGAGAGCCGCAGTCCTGCAGAGTTCAGCTCCAACCCTGAAAAAAAAAACTCACCTGTCTATAGCCTTAGTAATCCTGAAGACATTGATTAGCTTGTTCAGGTGTGTCTGATTAGGGTTGGAGCTGAACTCTGCAGGACTGCGGCTCTCTAGGACCGAACTTGCCTACCCCTGGGCTAAACTAACAATACAACAAGATGAAGCTCTCAGCTAACACGACATACTTTATTTTAAAAACCTGTAATATTGAATTAATACATATTAAAAACACAAACCAGCACATTCTTACAAGTGTATCTAATTTCTTCAGGAATTTAAATACTGGTGGTCTTTACTATCAGAGGCTTCGCAATGTTCCGGGATCTTGAAACTCACTGAATTGTATTGTGAGTGATGACACATTAACTGTTCCAAGGTGGCGGACATGTCGAATGCGGATTCTACCTATACTTATCTATGTGTGTTCTTGGTCTTGTGTTGCACTCTTATTTTGAAGTGTATTTGATTCCCATTGTTTCGATGTTCACTTCCTTGTTCTGTTCCTGCTTGCCTTGCTGCCTTTTTTGTCGCTATAGTTACCCTTCTTTGTTCCCATGCAGAGCAACTAATCACCTCCACCTGTCGCTTGTTAGCCCTAGTTTTCTTTAGTATATACTGTATATTCCAGTGTTTTCACATGTAAGTTTGGTGTTCTCATTCGGTTTCCTTGTTTGCTCTGGTTATCTGGTCTATGTAGTTTGTTTGTTTATTTTGTTATTAAAACACTTCGCATTTTGATCCAGCTTCTTTGTTTTTTAAGTTAACTTCACGTAACACAGAGTTTGTGTCAAGGTCTCTTAAAATATCAAATATTTTTTTAATCATTTTTTCACAAGGCAAGGTTAGTAAAACATTATATGGTGCGATTTCCCAAACACATAATTATATATATGAATTAAGAATTTATGATTTTTGTAAAAAAAAATCAAAAAAAAAATTTGGAAATTAATGGTTTAGATATGTACACTCACATGTATTTAATTTACAAAAAAAAAAATTGTACCCATCCACAACTTTAGAGAGATCTTTTGACAGTGCCTTGCCACCCAGAGTTGATTGTTTGCTTCAGTTGCACTACCAAAGACGGAAATTCTTCAGGAAAGCTCTTTTCATGCTGAGCTAATCAAAATGACTACAGCTGATCACAGTTGAAAGTCAAATGGCTTTGTGTGCCATTGAGAAGGTGATTAGCTACACCTGATTGAGTTTGCAAGTCATTTTTAGGAGGGGATGATCCTTTTTCCAACTCTGATTTTTTTCTGACATGGTGTTATATCTTTCACTTGGCTGTTATAAGTTGCACTGAGCAAATACAGATGGATAAAACAAAAACTGTGTCCGTCTTCACTTCAGGCTGCTATACACACTGTAGGTGTTTTGAAGATTTTTTTGTTTTCTTTACCATGGTCACACTATATGTCTTCGATCTTAATACTGTGTGTGTGTGTAATGAACATCCACTGGAGGCAAGTTTAATGAGAACCCATGTGCAATTTAATAATATCCAAAAGTGAGCAGAAACACAATGAACAAGACTTGGCAAAAACTTGAACAAACCGAGGATTATACGAACAAAGCTAGACAAAGGAAACATGAGGGCTATTTATACAAAGGTTAACTAGCCTAAAAAGGGGGGAGGAGTTAATGAATCTCTATGCCAACTAACAAGGGTAACTAACAAGTCAGGCAAAGGAACAAGAAGTGAACACAGGAACAAAGGGAACAGAAAATACACTTCAACATAAAAGTCATTGACATAAAACAGGGCAGCACAAGACATGAAAACATGACCAAAACCACATGACGGCATGATAGGGACTATGTGATATTTGTAAGTTTTCTTAACAGCAACAGCTCAAGGTCTCTCTCTCTCTCTCTTTTATTATTATTTTTTTCCTTAGGACTGCCATTGCATTCTCAGCAGGCTGTTTGGATTCCCTTCCACTCCTTTTAGTTCTCAGGATATTGGCTGGTTTCAGTGGAGCGAAGCAGAAATGGATGCTGAAACTGGGAGGTTACTGTTCAAAAGCTAAGACAATAAACACGTCTCTTTCATGTGTCTATAAAGTGCTTATTTGAACAGAACAACCAACATAATTACCTTAGATTAGTTTACATTTGGCAGACACAGTCCGCATAATTTAGGATTAAAACTCACTTGCCTGATCCCTAAATTATGTAAATACAGAACATGCCAACCCATATGGTAAAGCATTTAAGCAGGTATAATTGTTTACCGTCATAATTCAAAGGGACACAAAGGGGAAGGAATGTAATGTCATTTCCGTGACGTGACTTAGCACAGTTATGAAGAGTTCGGCCTTTGCAAGAACTCATGACTGGCTGGTCAAGTGGGAGTCATAACTCACATTAATACTGACTTCCTACGAGACTCCCTCCAACACTGAGTCAACAAACCTGTGGTGTTTTCTGTGAAAAGTCAAGGATTTTCTAAACAATTAAAGCCTCTTATATACAGTAGCTGAAAATGATATACCTTTAGAGTTTTAGGAAGTTTGTGGTACTATAGCATGCCTGAAATATGCAAATACGAGCTTATGCTATGCCTCTCAAGGGATCCTGTAATTCTGGGAAAAAGACTTTTGAGTCATAACCCTCCTCCTATGTCTCATAAAGCAATAGCTCGTCAGCAAAAACTGAAATTAAATATAATCTGTAGTATGTTTCTTGAATGCAATGCACATTATGGTGATATTACAAAACAATAGTGACCGTTTTTGTGGCAGTTTTGAGAGGCCAACTTTTAGAAACCTACCTGTCTTCCTCAGAGGAAAGTCATCCCGGGAGTCTTGTGGGGAGAGCAGGGAGATCTTGCAGGAGGAGGACGCTCCTCCCAAAGGAGGTGAACTTTGCTCCAGAAAGGTGTGATGGGAGGCCCTGAACAGAAAAGAGATGCAAACTGAACTTACCTGATAGTGATAAATTAAGCTGATAGCTCGTCTGTGCTCTACCATTCACCTTAGTATCACATTACTGATTATTAGCTAAAATCAACTCAATTTTTTTACCTTGAAAAGTCTGAAATCTTCTAGTCTTGTGTTTATTTATTTTATAAACTTTATGTACATTTCACTGTATGTAAATACACTACCATTCAAAAGACTGGAGTCGGTAAGTCTTTTTAAAAATAAATGAATACTTTTATTCAGCAATGATGCATTCAATTCATAAAAAGTGGCAGTAAAGATATCTATAATGTTACAAAGATATCCATTTTAAATAAATTATGTTCTTTTAAACATGCTATTCATTAAAGAATCCTGGGAAAAAAGCAGCACAACTGTTTTCGACATTAATGATAATAATAAGAAATGTTTCTTGAGCAGCAAATCATCATATTTTAAGGATTTCTGACAGATCATGTGACACTGAAGACTGGAGTAATGGCTGCTGAAAATTCAGCTTTGCCATCACAGCAATAAATTATATTTTAAAATATATGCATATAGAAAACAGGTATTTTAAATTGCAATAATATTTCATAATATTACTGTTTTTACTGTATGTTTGATCAAATAAATGCAGCCTTGGTGAGCACAAAAGTCTTCTTTCAAAAAACATTACACATTTTACCGAACCCAAACTTTAAAATCATACTGAATAATATTTAGATTTATCGATTAACATATTACATTTTTAAATAGTATTGAAATGGTTGTGCTATTATTGTGCTACACCGATTGAACATGAAAAGTCTGAAATAAATTCCAGCTCACTTAAAACAGCAAATAAAAAAGGGTTTGAGGTACGTGAAGGTTACTTACGTGTACCACAGTTTGGAGCTCTGTGTGATTTTCTGGGGGACCCCATTAAATGTACCATCTTTGGTGGATTTACTCAACAGAAACTCTTGGAGTTTCTGCTTGACCTCAGTGCTGGCCACTGCACCTGTCAGACCAGGAGACGCACACACAGAAACCATGAGCATCCTGGGGTTTATTCAAATGATATTTAGATACAATAAATCTGAGACATTCCTGACAGAGCTCGACTAACATTCTGTGGTTCGCGTGATACAGTCACTGTAAACAGAAAGAATGTTTGGCTTCTTTTCAAAGTCAGAGAAATGATTGTATTACTGCCACTCCCAGACACAGCAGGATCGGCCTCAAACAACAGCATCTCTCCTACTCATTCACCCACACACTCTTCTCAAAAGCTCCAGTTCAGATGCCTCTGTAACATCATTGGCTAAACATTTTTGAGCACCTTTAAACAAATGAAGGAATATCTCCCTCTTCTGGACAGCAGGAGTGAAGCACTCTTGAAGGCTGTTATATCGAACTTTGTGCAAAATTGAAGTTCTAATGAATCGATTTGTGAGTAAATTGTTTGAAACCTGTCAAGAACATTAATAAGAAAATGTAATATGTAATGTAAAATAATGTAATTAATAATAAAATTAAATATTACATATATTATATATACTGCTAATTTAATTATATGTGATGTACAGTACACTTATTACAGTTTGCCAGCCCAGATCTAGTTGACTAGGCTACACCACATTGGTTTTATTTATTTTTCTGTCTTTCTTTCTTTTTTCTTTTTTGGGTCAGTTTCATCCTATGTAGTTCAGAACCTTCTCAAGTGAACATGGAAAAGAAGCAGATGTCATATAAATGTGTAATTTGACTGATGACATTTTGATGGTATTCGGTACAGGCAGGCTGTGGAGTGTTTGAGTGTTGTGTGGGTGATCATGATGATGAGCTCTTACTCTCTCTGCTCTTCTCTCTGTTGCGGAGGACCAGCACTTGTTGTTCACGGTGATGTCTCTCCAGTTCTCTCTCCTGACTCTGGAGCTCTAGTTTCCTCTCTTTCTCCAGCTGCTCCTGTTGTTGCTTCATAGCAAGTAGTTCCTGCTGCAACTGAGAGGCAGATGTTTATTATACATTTATTTATCAAGTTGGACTGTATGGTTGTATTGTACTTGTTGCTTTTTGTGTTGCGTCCACACATTATTTCAGTAGGGTTGTGTTGGTACCTTCAAATGCTCTTGTATCTGGGCCTGATGCTGGCGAATCAGGTTCTCGTGCTGCTTCTGGAACTCAGTGATGAGTAACTGTTTCTGAATCTGCTGTTGTTTCTGAATGAGGAGCAGCTCTTGTTGAAGTTGTCTTTCCCACATAGTGGGATCTGCGGCCGAACCCTGCATCCTAATGTCTGTACGTAGGTCCAATGGGGAGCCCGGATCAAGAGCCAGTGGAACCTCTGGCTTAATGTCCACTGAGAAAAAAAAATAGGGAAAAAAAGAGTGAGGAGGGTTTAGTACAAATGTCTTTGCTATGTTTTGATGGTTTATTATTATCAATCATTCAGAGATATTTGAGCGATCAGGTATACACATGCATGACAACTACTTTTGACATATTATTTAATATATCAGGTCTGATTCTTAATATTGGAAAAACCTGAATGTGTCCTGTGGTGTGACAAACAAAGTCATGTGGTACAACCAACATACATGGTAAAAAAAAAAAACGGATATCATGTCATATAGAGGACCCTTGCAGACCCTCATGACAAGGTCAATATCAGAAAATTTGGCATTGTTAATGTCAAGTCAAGACTGTAAAATGCCATGTATTGACCATTCCAATACATATCGTTATGAATTCATGGATAATTAGTCATAAATTATTTGTGAATTTAAAAAAAAAAACGTTTAACCTTGATAATTTATTAATTCACTCTGTGCCATTATCATTATAGTTGTGTTGTAGACTCTTACAATTAGAGTGATTTTTTTAAACTTCATGGTTATCCCTATACACTCTAAAAAATGCTGGGTTAAAAAGGGACAAACCCAGCTATTGGGTTGTTTTGACCCAGCGTTTTTTAGAGTGTAGTTATAGTTTGGTGTGAGCAGGCCATAAGCTGAATTTTCCAACATGCTAGAAAAAAAAATTTCCTCATTTCCCTTTTCATACTGTGCTCAGTTGAACCCCTAACTACATCTCAAAGTCATCAAAAGTATGGCCCCATATGAGCTTCACTGATACAATATGCAGAGATACAATAGAAACAACACTCTAAAAAAATGCTGGGTTAAAAAGGGACAAACCCAGCTATTGGGTTGTTTTGACCCAGCGTTTTTTAGAGTGTAGTTATAGTTTGGTGTGAGCAGGCCATAAGCTGAATTTTCCAACATGCTAGAAAAAAAATGTCCTCATTTCCCTTTTCATACTGTGCTCATTTGAACCCCTAACTACATCTCAAAGTCATCAAAAGTATGGCCCCATATGAGCTTCACTGATACAATATGCAGAGATACAATAGAAACAACACTCAGACCCTCATGACAAGGTCAATATCAGAAAATTTGGCATTGTTAATGTCAAGTCAAGACTGTAAAATGCCATGTATTGACCATTCCAATACATATCGTTATGAATTCATGGATAATTAGTCATAAATTATTTGTGAATTTAAAAAAAAAAACGTTTAACCTTGATAATTTATTAATTCACTCTGTGCCATTATCATTATAGTTGTGTTGTAGACTCTTACAATTAGAGTGATTTTTTTAAACTTCATGGTTATCCCTATACACTCTAAAAAATGCTGGGTTAAAAAGGGACAAACCCAGCTATTGGGTTGTTTTGACCCAGCGTTTTTTAGAGTGTAGTTATAGTTTGGTGTGAGCAGGCCATAAGCTGAATTTTCCAACATGCTAGAAAAAAAAATTTCCTCATTTCCCTTTTCATACTGTGCTCAGTTGAACCCCTAACTACATCTCAAAGTCATCAAAAGTATGGCCCCATATGAGCTTCACTGATACAATATGCAGAGATACAATAGAAACAACACTCTAAAAAATGCTGGGTTGTTTCAACAAATATGGACTAACCCAACTGTTGGGTTAAAAAGCTAATATAAAAATGTAACCAAAATTTAACCCAACAGTTGGGTTAGTCAATATTTGACCCAACATTGGGTTGAAACAACCCAGCATTTTTTAGAGTGAACTCTATTTTTTGCAGTAGTGTGTCTATATAAGAATCTCAGCCAGCATTCCATGTGCAATTCCTATGGGATATTACTAGCCATGGTTTGGTCCAGTGTGTTCTACTGACCCCTCTGGTCTGAATGGAGACTGCAGTGCCACAGTTTGTTGTTCATATAGTTGTGATGTTTGTGCTCCTGCCTCTTATTCCCCCACCATCCTCCCTCCTTAGAGCCATCATCACACCTTCACCATTATGGAAAATTGCTGCTGTAGTCTTCAAGCTGGGCCTCATAACAAGTAATACACCGGGTACAAAAAGCAAAGGGCATCCCCAAGGCCCCAAGAACTATATATATATCCATGAGACAGTGAAAATCAATAGCAAGCCTGGAGGACAGTCCCGCGGAAAGCGTATAAGTGGAGACACTCATCATAACAGACAGTGATGAAAAGCAATTACTAAGAGATGAGGTTTGGAAAGTGTATACATACAGAATGATATATGGGTGTGGAGAAGAAAGACAAAGAAGTTTACAGAACAGCTGGTCAAGATATACGTATGGTCCAGTGAATTTAAGTTTCGCATTGAGGGAAAGCACACAGTGGTTGTTACACAATTGGGGAAGAAGTAACAAGAAGAAGCCCCAAACAGAAATCAAGTCACTTCAAGTTTAACTGAGTAAGCAAGTGTCTGGAAACATGATTAAGTCAAATGGTTTTCTCTCTTAGTCAGCATGATGGATTAGTTGGACAATTTTTAATGAGTGCTTCAGTTCATAAAGTGAATGGCTGATAAACTGCACAGAATCAATAACTAAGAATATTGATTTGTTCATGTTTTCAGGTACAGTAATGTAATCTCTATTAAACGTTTTTGTTGTTCCAAAATTGCATCACTCTATTTCTTCTGTTGAGCACAAAAGAAAACTTTTTTTTTTGTCCAAGCTAAATGTCAATGGGGTCCAAAGATGTTATTTTGAATTTTGAATGTTGTTTTGGATCCCACTGTCTTTCACTATGGGGACAAAACCAGTTGAAACAATCTTTTAAAATATCTTCTTTTGCAACAGAACAATAGTTAAAATGACAGACAAAACGATGGACAGACAGACAGATAGACAGTATATTGATTTGTTCATGTTTTCAGGTACAGTAATGTAATCTCTATTAAACGTTTTTGTTGTTCCAAAATTGCATCACTCTATTTCTTCTGTTGAGCACAAAAGAAAACTTTTTTTTTTTGTCCAAGCTAAATGTCAATGGGGTCCAAAGATGTTATTTTGAATGTTGTTTTGGATCCCACTGTCTTTCACTATGGGGACAAAACCAGTTGAAACAATCTTTTAAAATATCTTCTTTTGCAACAGAACAATAGTTAAAATGACAGACAAAACGATGGACAGACAGACAGATAGACAGTTAGACAGATAGATAGATAGATATGATTTCAATAAACACACTAGATGCGAGACTATATGCATTAGCTATGTAACTTTAATCCTCAGAAAGCTTATTATTGGCATAACACACTACCACCTGTTCAGTGTTCTCTCTCTCTCTCTCTCTCTTTCTCTCTCTCTCTCTCTCACACACACACACACACACACACACACACAGAGAGAGGCAAAGCCTTTAAACCATTAATTATATCCATGAACCAGTGTCTCTTAAGCCTAGAATATTCCTCTAATGAGTTGCCATAGCAAGGCACTTACTGTGACACACGCAGCAATTCACACATTAATGGTAAAGCATTTGCTTGTTTGGTTGAGCATAATGTTCTTCACCATCATCAAAAATGTCTGCATGCGCAACCGCTGATTATAAATAGCAACATAAAAGCAAGTGGTGCAATCTTAGACTATGACAAAACACACACCCAATCCACCACCCAAACTGGCTGCCATGGCAACGCTGGCGACATCATACTGACTCCTCTTCCTGCAGATATTGAGCTGCGCTGTGTGGTGTCTCCTCCCCGAGAGCACCCATGGATATTATATCATCCCTTATATAAGACAAACATACACACACACACACAAGCACTCCCTCTTTCTGTCGACACCGATACATGTCAGCTATGCCTGTCAGCTCCAGTTGAGGTCGAAGCTAGCATTTGAAGCCAACTTCTGGGTGTTTAGCAAAAATTCACCTTGGTTTGTTGTCGTGACGGCACTTCTTGGAAAAGAGCCAAGTTTGAAGAGACAGGAGCAGCTCTCTCTAGTGAGGCAAACAGATGACCCTAAGCATCCTGGAATGATGGGGGAAATATTAATTCTGATTTGAGAGAGCTCTTTATAAAGAGCAGCAGTGTTCTTACAGCATTCAAGAAGTCAGCCAATGAGCTTCAACCATGATTCACAAGCATTGGGCTCGCTGCCCTAATGGAGCTAAAAATAGCCTCAGAAACACCTGCTGGGTTGAAGCGCTCACCACGGTGATATCTCATTTATCTTATGTTTCCCTGCTTGCCCTCCCCACTACCGTCATTAAAAACATACACTTTGATCCGACCATCCAGCCAAGCTCTCTGCAAAGAAACCTCAGGTCAACCCACTCACACCTCCCAACTCAACTGGAAGCAGGCAGTTTGAAGATTAAGAATGACCAGGTTAGACCAAATGGACCTCTGGATAACACAACTTAACCTTGTCCCAGACAGCGTGACATCATTGCGACACATTGTTGGAAAGAGAAGCGTTGACGTCACCAGAGGTCAAAAGACTTGTAAATGAATTGAGGTCTAAGGATTGTAACTGTAAAGAATTTAATGATTCCGGTTTGATTCCTCTTCACAGTTCAACACTTCCATTAACAACTCTATAATACCTTTTAAGAATAAATATTTGGGGAAAAAACACAATTCCAAATGATGAGATAAATTCATTAATGAGTTTAAATCAGTTCTTGCAAAAGATGTTTTTACACTTCTCATGCTGCTTTTTTAGAGGCGGCATAATCTGCACAATCCGATAATTGGCTTTAGTTATGCATTGAACATACAACAGTACTAAACACAAACAAAAAAAATATGGTAAACATTTCATTTGTTTATATATTTATTTTTTTAAATACTACCAAAAAACACATAATGTGTATCTTTAAATATACACTGTCATATGAACAACCAGTGACAGTCTGTATTTGATTCACTACAAAGAATCAACTCATATGAGTCATTCGTTCGAGAATCAGACTCTACACAGGTTGCACTGAATTTCTTTGATTTACTAAAAGGTCCACCTCCTTAGAGTAATTTGTTCAGGAATTATAGCAT